CCGTTTTCTCTATGTTCACTTGAAGTCCTATCTTTGATGCTTCTTCTATCGCCAACTTGTTGCTTTTCTGTTGCATATCTTCCAGTTTGCGGGAAATCAGACTTATATCATCAAGGGCGAAGTCCAGATCCTCCAAGTTTTTTGTGTGGGTCCACTTTATGCTTTTTTCTTCATTGTCCACTCTCTGTCGCATTATCTAATCTATTGCAATCAGGAAAATCATTGGTGATAGTAGGAAGTCTTGCCTTACTCCCTGCTTCACTTCGAAGGCTTCTGTAAGTTTGCCGTTGTGGATTACAATTATATTATGGCATCTAACTTACTAACTCAGTATTGCTTCACTTGTTGTCTAATTAACCTTGTTTCTAGATTAGATCATTCTTTTATTACGTGATCACTTATCCAAACTTCACAAACCTCATGTACACACACAAAAATAATGTTATATAAATGCGATAGTATTGCTATATGAATGAATTCGTCGTCGAAAAAAGTCTCTTCGCTGAACATATTCTCCTTTTTTTCGTATGACTAGACGGGGATTTTTAAGCTACTAAAACTCAGGGTGTTAAAATATCATGGAACCAGAGTAAAACACCTCGACTAGTGATTCCTTCTTTCCTTTATTTTCCTAACTATTCTACTTTTAACCATCTACCAAAAAAAGCACAAAACAAAATTTTAAAAGTACGGCAATAGTTAACATTGAATTTTGTTCAATATATATATATATATATGTGATAAGCGAACGCTATCAATTTTGACTTCAGACATATTTGACAGGTATTCTATACGTGAACTGCTGTCATACTTAAAATAAAATTTTGTTGTTTTGTTGTTTTTATTGTTTTTGAATAGTCGACTAAAATTTAGATTGTGTATTTGCTTTCCATTAGAAAACTACACAATGCCTCGATGTTTTATTGTGTGTTAATGCCTATACACACTTTCAATATGGTGTCGTCATCTTTACCATAAATGTTGATTGCGTAACACACGTTAAAAGATTTGTGTTCAACTTACTGCCTATTCTAGACAGATAGAAAGGGTATCTATCCATAGAAAAAGTATGACAGATAGAGAAAATTACTAAACAACTGTTATCACTCTATTATTAATATTATTATTATTATCGTCATTGCTTATCAGTAGTATCATTTTTAGTCGACTTGATATTTAGTAATTTTGACAATTCGTGAAGTTTATAAATTGGCATTTGGTCGCTATACTATTTTTGAAGAAAAAATCAACATTCAACCACCCTATTCAACATCGTCAATCTTTTATCAAACATATTGACGCTCAAGGTTTGGATCGTAGCAAAATTGCGACTGCAGAGACGACAGGAGATAGTGATGTATTAGATAGTTTTTGGGCAATCAGTAGGAAGCCTTGAACCTAGGTTTTGTGCTAGTTGGCATTCATCAGCAAAGCGTATCTGCAACCTTGAAGGTGCTCATTTCCTTTCTGAGGTTTGAACCTGCGTCACCCAGTGCTGAGGACTGTAGTGGGTATTTTGATTGGATACTAGTAACTCGTGTGACGTGACATCCTAGAGGAGATCGATGGCAAGCCTGAATAGTTCAGTGGTAACGTCTCTGACTGTAGCACTGGGTGACGCGGGTTCAAACCTTAGAAGGGACATGAGTTCCTTCAAGGTTGCAGATATGCCTTGCTGATGAGTGCCAACTAGCACGAAACCTAGGTCCAAGACTTCCTGCCAATCGCCTTCAACTATATAATATATCGTCAAATCATTGTGCACCGTGATGGAGAGCTACCTAGAATGGTGACCACATTGCATCAAAGAAAGTAATTGATACATCACACTAGTTACTAGTGTCCAATCAAAAAGACAAGACTTCATATGAAGATTAATAAGACTGACACCAGTGATGAAAAATCACCATCATTTGGAGAATCGTAGGAAGGTGATCTCTTTCAACCACCTGGGTAAGACAGGAGTTCTTTACTGCAAATACAGGGTGGAGATGTACAGTACTCAGCTGAAGGAATAAGATTGAACATTTTAACTCTAATTTGAAGACATCGCTTCTATTTTGTTGGTTTAAAAACCTGGTGCATGAGTCACGGAAAGTATTTCCAAGTGCTCACTTCAGACTTTCATCAAGAACTAGGTCCTTCTTCATTCAGGACTGAACAACAGGTGATCGGGAAGAAAGGATAAGCAGAAAGGGATTCAAAATGAATCAATCAAGAACTTGTTACTTGATAAATATGCTGAAGTAAATAAAGAGATGGACTGAAAACAAGCTTAGAATGCCATCGTGGTACACTGCATCCAAGGACTCAAGTGTAACTCGACTGAGAAACGATGGGTTAAGAGTTCTAGGTTGACACAGGAGAAAATAATGAGAAAAAGAGCTGAGAACCTGTTGGCAGTCTTAGAGCAAGCTAATAGGGATTGAAGAAGCAGGGTGAATTGGGGTTGTACCTCAAAAACCCCACATTCTATTTAGGCTCCAAAGGAACAATCATAATTACAACAATGCAATAATGACACGAAGAATGAATAGAGCCGTATATTTTTGGCGTTTCGTAATAAGCAACTATTTTCATGTCTAACATTTTTATCATCACATAAAATGCGTGTCAAATATGGCGTCATTGAATTTTCGTGTTCAGTCCTGCTGGCTGGCTTATAGCCTTTCGTAATTGCTTCTTGTCCTACCTAGAGTGGGTGATAAGAGTCAGATGGAGTGACCTAAGCCAACGTCTTTAATAGGTCAAAATGTCTCAGCTGATGTAAAGATAAGTCGACTGATAGGCACGAAATTCAGCCTACTGATAGCTTTCAGTATCCTTTAAAATATAATTCAGAAAACTTTTGTAAAAGCAGGGAGTGCCGGCCAGGTGTTTTGCTCTGCTTACAGACTTTTCCCCAGTATTTGCCCACCGTGTGGCGAACTCAAGGCGTTTCCGTTACAGAGAGGGTTCATAAATCATTCAGTCACTCTTATTCGATCCACTGGCTACTAATAAATTCCAACTTATGCCAATTCGTGAAGATCCTGGGTTTGAACCATGGTAGGTGCATAATACCATAGTCAGAAATTAGGAAAACACAGCTGTGCAATACTACGTGGTTTATAGTGGTCCGATTGTGCGTCGGTGGCACAGTGGTTAGGACTCTCGCCAACCATGCACATGGTCCGAGGTTCTATCCACTGCCGACGAACACCTGATATCTATGGTCGGCCTGCGAAATTTGGGCTACCGATATCCACGCTGGAAATTCCATACTTGTACCAAAAATACAGTGTGGAATCAAGCTGTAATCAAAAATATTTAAAAAAATAAATAAAATAAGATATGGGAGCCAAGTTATAGTTTGCATCGATCAAACCGCTGTTTATATATCTACAGTTTATATTCTTTGACCAATCACTGAGCGTGTGATTTCGGTTTACATCAAACAACATAAAATAGAATGTTGAAATATGCAGAGTATTCTGTTGCCAATGCAGTAGTGTACTTTGGGAAACTATGTTATCTCTAACATCAAATGAAATGTTCAAATAGATATATTTGTATTCTGTTGCTAATGCCGAAATGAACTGTGGAAATATGGGAGAGTAATATTCTGTTGGCAAACATTGTCTGTATCACACCATCACACTATAACTTTCCTCAATCCATGATGAAACTTCAAACCTATTGAATTCTTACAAACTAACTCTTAGAAGTGAATCTGTTGCTCTATGGTGACTGGCTACGTGCAAAGTTACCTAAAATGTCCTAATTAGAAGTCATAACGAATGGGGTCCACCATGGAGGTTGTGTGACCTGTGACCGCGCTGAATTCACAAAGTCGTAAAAGGTAGAATTTGTGCACTGACCACTGGGTTGAATCATCAATTCTAGTTAGTATACGAGTTTTCTTAGTAACTTTAATGTCCTGAGTTCAAACCTCGGTGGTGGGTAAGTACTGTTGAAGAGCTTCAAAACTTGGGGGGACGAAACAGCTGTCTAGTACTCTCTGGTTTTCCAATATCGGTTCACAAGCAAACCTGTAACCAATCAAATTTCTGAAAACCACTACTTAAGAAAGACTTATTCGACAAATTAAAATTCCTATTGAATAGATCCATGAAACGATCAGAGGTTTCGATAACTTCCTACCCTATATACAGGTTCTCAATTCAATTTATTTATACTAAAATTTTACTCTGATTTATAGTGAAATAATAACGACAATGACCAGAAGCTGAACTGATAGAAAGAGGGAGAGAGACTGAGAGAAATTGAGAGAGAGAGTGAGTGAGTGAGGGAGAATGGGATAAAATCTTGGTCAACACACATTCTGATTGGTTAATACAGAAATGAACAAGTAGTAAGTAGTTGGCCAATTTTACTGGTGTAAACATTCTTCTGTTGCATACATATACGTAGAGAAAGGATAAATTAAAGTGTATTTGTATATGTGCATACTTTGTAAAATATTTTTTAACAGTATTAATATTATTATTAGTAGTATTATTTATAACAATTCTGAGTGGAGACTAGTCATTTCACGAATCCTTCCTTGTGCTCATACATAACTTTTTGCTTTTCATACAAACACAAAGAGAGGATATTTGCTTTCTTATAATTACTTGACTCAATTTTCAAAATTAACGCCAAACATTCTTGTCAGAAATAAACATTCCAAATATTGTGAGATTTCAAACGAAAGTACCCAACTGTGTTGTGGTATCTATCTATCTATCTATCTATCTATCTATCTATCTATCTATCTATCTGTACACATGTTTTAATGTAACCGCGAATCTACATTTCTAAAATCGCCAACAATGTATCCTTTGATAACGACGTTACTTCACCCCTCAAAGAGTGTGATATCCATTTATTTCTGAGTATATTCACATCCTGAATTCCCTGGAAATCTTTCACATAACTGACAATCAAATGGTGTTATCAATAAATCTAAATTATATCATTGTCGTTTAAGTGTCGTGTGTATATAAAAAGAAAATAAAATGACAGAACAAATCCCTTTTCATCGTACATCAACAATACGACATCGTAGTAGTAGAAATGGTTCAATAGCACCACAGGATAATGTTCCATCAAGTACAACTGTTCCATCTGGTGGTGCTGGAGGTGGTGTCAGTGCGACTGGAGGCGTTGTTGCCGGTGGTGGTGGCGGTGTTGGAGGAATTCAACAACAATCCAGTGTAAGACGAGCATCGATTATGCAAAAGTATATGGGTGAAATTGAATTCACTGGATTAAATCAAACAGCTAGAGTAAGTTATTCACTCGAATGATAAGAATATTTTTGTGTTTACACTAAGTAGTAACTGGAGCATATATGAATACGTTTTTTTTTCAAATTTGAGTTTCGCAGAATATTGAATAGGCTTATTTGCATGTCTAACTATTGAACGCATAGTAAAGTGACACAAAACTCGGGAAAGTAGGATTTAAACCGGTTTCTATTCCTACTAGTGACTCCGTCTACATATTTTTACAGATAATAAACCTGATAAACAAAATATTTGATGACAAAACCACGGGTGTGAGTCTTTAGTGACACCAGACTGGGTATTAAATGTCTTCCGCATCTGTAATATGTCAAACAGAGGGTTCGATACGGTTTTCAACTCAGAATTAGGCTTATACTTTCAGTTAGAGTGTAAAGTTTTCAAGTGTCATGGATATTTCTTACTTACATTAGTTTTTAAATTGAATTTTTCCTTCACATTCTCAGTGGAACATAGGACTTCAGGAGAGTGTCTTGAAGTTTCTGTAGAAGTGCTTATTTTCACAGGATGAAGTTGCTAGCCTCTTTACCAGCATTATTTCTGGCTTAACAAGGTAAAGGAGTGCGTCGGCGGGGGATCGAACCCCGGACCATGTGCGTGGTCGGCGAGCGTCCTAACCGCTGTACCACCGAAGCAAAAAAGCCGCACCCACGGCGGGACTCGAACCCACAGTCTTTTACTTAGGAGGTAGTTTACTGACATTTCGTTAAATTTACAAGATTTTCGCAATATATTTCATAAGTTGACAAGTAACATTTATTTAGTGAACAGCAATCAGTCCAGCGTTATTTTCTTTGGAATTAAAAATATATGTTCAACTGTCACATTTAATTATAAAAGTAATTCGTTAACTGATCAAAGGTTTAATATACTTTGTACTAAAGATCCGTGTAAGATTCAGATACAGATTTTTACAGGTAAAAGATGACAGATTAGCTCTTGAAGCCTGTTTTAATCTTTGTAGGGATCTAACTTCTCTTTGAAAGTGTTCACAGACAGATTCTATATCACTTGATTTAATTTTATATTCACTACTTGTTGAACAATATTATTGGTGCAAATACCCTACTTTAATTTTTGTCCCTGTAATAAGAATATTAGATGCAATATTGTATTATATGCTGAAAATTCCATATTTGTACCAAAATTACTGTTTGGAATAAGGGTATTATTCTTATTGTTGTTATTATTAAAGCGTTACATACTCCAACCTCCATACTACTTCAGAAACTGACCTTTCCTATATTTGTTCGCCTATGGTTTAGGCATAGTTTTTATCATAACCACCTGTTAGAGATATTCTGGAAGGAAAGTAAATGTATGGTAATGGAACGTGGCTTAGATTTTTCAACTTCTTATCATAAAGAACTTGTAACGCACCTCTAAGTGATCAATTACCTATTCTCTGTTCCTCTTTACCATGACTTGTGCCTCTTTCTGGAAGAATAAACCAACAAGATGTGTTCTAGCACCAAATTGGGTAGAATGTCTTCAACATATCCTTCTCTAGTCATTTTTCAACCCCTACTTTGAGGTGTTCACAATATTCAGAAACTCCTGAATGCGACATCGCATTGCAGCAATAAAGCCAAAATCTCCTTTCGTTATATCATGAAACTGCAAATAGTACCGTAAATACTCTGTTTTTATCCTTGGTTAAATCATGTATTCGTGAAAAATTTCCATCACGGCAAATCAAAATATGTGATCTAATGTTAGGAGACTCTCTTTATTGAAGTGATTCTCAAGCTTTACAAGCGCACATATATATACATATATGTATATAATGTGAATTACAAAAATACATATTTTATTAATAGTAGCTTCATTCTAGACAGTGTTAATATAATGTACAGAATTCCCAGGTGAGTAAGTCCATGATATTCTTTCAGAAACAAAAACGGTAACTGACAACAGATTGCATGAAGCAATGCTGTCTTCTTTGATGTGAAAAAACCAAACCATTAAGGTAGTCCTTCTTTGTCTCTTTCGACAAATCGATGACGTCTCAATGGATGCCAGTTGTATGACGTTTAGGAGTACATTTTGAGAGCCAAGGGCATAACAAAGGTACAGTCATCTCATGTATTGGGATAAACTGTCATCCAGTATAGTGCATTTTCTCGGGTTTAGTGGAAACTACTGGGTTAACCGGTTGTAAGTATTTTTAAGTACCCGCCAGGGTAAATAATACTATTAGAGGTCATATTTTAAAACATTAAAACAAATTGAATCACAGAAATTATATGCAACATACAATGATGCAGGTTTTCAGTAGCCCAGCTTCTAAAGCAGGCCGTTGTTTATTTTTTCACTGTCATCGTAGTTAAACATGAAATGAACTATTATGCTCGATGGATGGCAGCTTATTCCAGCACATGAAATAAGCATTTCTGCGTAGTGTCATTGATTCACAAAATCCACTCTTGAAACATTTATAACTGGCATTCAACTAAATTCCGTGGATTTGTTGAAGAGGAGAAAGAAGAGATATCGTAATGGATCATTGATTTGCGCTACAGGTCGGATAGAAGGAACTGTGTCTCACGATCTACCGCCACTCAACCTCTTTTATTTGAAAATCCTGGACCAATAGACTCGGATGAATATTCTGTTTACTATATAAACATTGTTTAAGAAGAAGGGTATTATTATTCTTACTAGTTGTCAGCCACGTCTCGTAAACTCTCAATGCCCAGCTCTTGCAACGCTGGGACTTACGCTGTTCCTTGAAGTTTCTCAGAAACGCTTAGTAATAACGAACGCAAAACCAAAACACCGATTGGCTACTCGAGAATTCTTTATTGTACCACCAATATATCCAACTTTAAAATTAAGCTTTAACTAAGGTTTCTGACAGTTTTGGTCTGACTTCTTTCTGAACAGCGACCGATGAGACGATGACTGGTGTATCGATGTCTCCGCGAAAATATAGGGAAGTTGGGTTTGAGCAAACAACCATGAATTGATCGTTCAATCTTCAACTACATTAACACTAGTGTTTATGAAATTTATAAATCTCAAAGAGGCGATGTAGAAATAAATAAGACCAGTAGACAATTGAAACACTGCACAACATGGTGAAAGTTATGATAAGATAAAAAAGTGACATCGATATACAAAAATTAAGTGACATAATATCAGAAATTGATAAGAGTGAAAAATAATAATTCTTAAATCATTTTGTTAGATCTTTACATTCCCAGTGGAACACATAACTTCAAACTACAGGCTAGAAGTTTCTGTCAATTTTTTTACGGGATGGGGTTGCTAGCCTCAAATGCCCAACCTTCCTCCTTTACCAGTCTTGTAACCGAATTAGCGAGGTGAAGGAATGCGTTAGATGGGAATAGGACCCTGAACCACATGGGACGTGATTTTAGAGCATCCTACTGCTGTGCCACTGGCGTACCAAAATAATATTTGAATGGACAAAATGAAAATTAATTATGACTAAATGAAGAATAAGTGTCATCACATTTTAGCATAAACAGACTGAATAGAACCATGAAAGACAGAGTGGTTAAACAAAGCTATTTTTGTGTCCACAAATATTTTCTGTCACATTTCACATTATGCGATTGTACTGCTGGATAGTAAATTCTTTGAAAAGAGTCTCATAACTGGATCATTCACTTATATTGATTTCCTATAAATCATGTATGACTTAATTAAGTAGAAAGTACTGTTAATTCAGGCTAACATTTTCAGCCTGAGGTTGACGTGTGCTGAAGACGTTTCAACGACGTCTGATTATTTAACCTGAAGTAAATTGGTGGGTGATAACTAGCAGTGGAATCTAAGACAACGTGCATTTCTTCGCATTTACGACTCGTCACTGCATGTACCTGCATCCCCTAGCGAGTCAGTGATGGTGTTCCCACTGGTACTCGAACTCAAAACCTCAAGCCCAGAACTTCAGTCCAGTCGATTAACGAGAAAGTCCTAAATGAACTAAATAACAACTGTTACCTGTTGCACAAGAGGTGGCTGTCGTGGCTGAAGTGGTTTAGTGGATAATGTTTTGACATCTTAATTATTGTTACTGGGTTCAGGCCTCAGTGGGAGCATCATCACTCACTGCGGAACGTAGTGCATCAACTGTCTGACGAATCACGAATAGGACGAAGTCCACATGCTGGATTCTAACACTATTAGTCACCATCCACCAGTTCACTAGAAGATACTTTACCTGAATCGGTGAGCGTGCAACCTACTGATGTTCATTTACTGATTATAACAGAACTTCAACCGTTGGTAGGAATTCAGCGTAACACAGTAAATTATTATTCCAAGAAATTAATGCATCTATCCTACGACACTGACTACTCTTAAGTACACTGCATTAACTTATTTACTCAGAAGTATCTTCAGTTAAACATCTAGTTTCTAAAAAAATGAAATTTTTAAACGAGAAACCAAATCGAAAAAAATTTATAAGTATTTTTAAATTTTGATTTCTTTGGAGTTTGACAGACTTGAAGTTGTGTGACGAACTGATATCAGTTAGAAAACCACTGGAAACCGGTAATACTGAAATAACTTAAACTAGCTGTCTAGTACTCCGCGTGTCACGAGATAATTATTTGGCGACACATGGTCCGGGGTTCGAGCCCGCACCGATGCACATCTGATATCTATGGTCGGCCTGCAAAATTTGGGCTACCGATATCCATGCTGAAAATTCCATACTTGTACCAAAAATAGAGTCTGGAATCAAGCCGTAAATCAAAAAAATGTGCGCCCGCGGTACTGCAGTTAGGACGCTCGTCGACCATACACATGATCCGGGGTTAGATCCCCAGCCACCAATGCACTCCTTTACCTCGCTAAGCAAGAAATAATACTGGTATAGAAGAAACAATTAAACACTGCTACAGAAACTTTAAGCCACTAGCTTGAGGTTCTATGTTCCACTGGGGGGAACGTGAAGGAAAAAAAAATCCGGATGTTTCAGCTAACTTTGTAAGTTTTATCGATTT